ACAATATGGTAAGGGCCGTAACATTTCCGCCACATGCTTGAGGTATTCGGCCAATCATAACGCACTGGATAGCTGGCCAATCACAGCACACCTTGCTTTTCAGACCGATTAGCTTTGTAAAAATCGACGCGTTTCAGAAAGGCGGGGCATAGAGGAGAAACAATAATGTACAGTATGTGGAAAATAATGTGTTTTTTGAAGCTTAAACTGCATAAACACATTTCATTACACCAAATACACAAAATAATGTTATTTTTAGCAACATCATATGACCCCTTTAAGCTACGAGTAAGGGCAGGATTGACCTTGTTGCTATGGACGATGTCAGCATGCTCATTTAATATGCTCACAGTGATTGGCCGATAGAGGAGGGGTCTCTGTCAGAGATTTATTCATAGAAATATTGTAGAGTGCGATATTATGTTGCCGTATTCAAATAAAGGTTTTAAAATGCAGGTTGAACTTGTTAATGAAAACAACTGTCATAATACCCTCGCGATTAAGGCGACACCTTTTTAAAAGCTCATTATCGTCAAACGTTTCTAAAATGTTTCTGTTCCGGCAACAGCCATTTTAGGATAGTTTGTGACTTGGTCTTAGTGACTCTAAACCTACCTTTACAGTAGGATAAATACAGTGTTGGTAGCATAATCGGATAGGTAGCATTATTTGTCAGAACACCGGCAACAGCCATTTTAGGATAGTTTGTGACTTGATCTTAGTGACACTACTCCTAATGTTTCAGAGATTTAGGAGCTAGTTTTAGCGCTAAAACGCTTTGTGAAATACTCTTAGAGCAAAAATGTAGGAGTCTTAAATTTAGGACTGACGCCCATTATTTTTAAGATTTTCTCCTAAATCGGCAAGTTATGAGCAACTTTTCGCCTTAAAATATTTTGTGCATTATTTGTCAGAACACCGGCAACAGCCATTTTAGGATAGTTTGTGACTTGATCTTAGTGACACTACTCCTAATGTTTCAGAGATTTAGGAGCTAGTTTTAGCGCTAAAACGCTTTGTGAAATACTCTTAGAGCAAAAATGTAGGAGTCTTAAATTTAGGACTGACGCCCATTATTTTTAAGATTTTCTCCTAAATCGGCAAGTTATGAGCAACTTTTAGCCTTAAAATATTTTGTGAATACAGGCCCTGATATTTACTCCAGACCAGAGATCTCAGATTCTGAAGTTGTAAGTTCTTTAAAATCGTGTGTGTGAACTTGTATTTTGTTGATAAACCAATGGTTAAAGCCATAGAGTTGCATATCTAAAGGTATTGCACCTGCCTTTGCTTCTTGTGGCCAACCATTCTTAACAGGAAGCAAGGTGGCACAAATGGGGGTGAGTAGAGACAGTTTTTGACCTACATAAGAAAATACCCTGAGCTGTCCTTTTAACTGTCTTCTTTCTAATAACTATCATGTTTTTAGCATCAAATTCCCTGGCTGTATTTCACTGAAAGAAAGCAAGCCTTTATACCAACAAAAAATATCGGTATGTCAGACATGGTTCTAATTTTTGTAACTGATCAAAGATGTCAGTGCCAAACCAAAGTTCAGGCCATCACAACGGGGAACTAAACCAGGGAGATGAAGGGAATCCTCTGTCTCTTATCTGTAGCCTGCATGCTGAAATTTTTCCTCAGATTTTGTTTTTATGTTACATCCTATGTGGTATTAGATTTGTCAGACTCTCAGGGAACAAGGCTGGCTGATAACTTGAGGACAGTTCCTCCAGGCTTCACAGCATATGTGGACCCTTCTCAGCAGTCTCCTAAACAGCAGACACAGAAAGTCTCGAAGGGAGTTGAAACAAAGGTACTGTCCTAGTTCTTGAGGCCTCAAATGTTTCAAATAACTAGGCTACTATGTAATACTCAGTCCGAAGAGTCAGTCCAAGTAAAACTATCCATGAAAAAGATGAAAGCAGGAATGAACAGAAAACAGTCCTCAGCACTCTAGGCTGAGAGACCATACAGACATTAGATTTCTTTTAAAAGAGTGTCTTTGTAAAAGTTGAAAATAATGTTGTTATAAACATCTTATATGGGCTAGTTGTTCTACTTGCTATGAGGAATAATATTTGCAATACAGGCAGTAGAGATATTAGCAGGCGTTCAAGCACAAAATTATTGTTCTTTTGATTTTGCCATTCCAAACACTTCTGTTACGATGCATCTTTTTCATAACTGATGAGAGCTTGCCATTAAGTGGTCAATTCCAGTCATTCCAATAGAAACCCACATAATCTGGGATTTCATGAGTTCAAATTTTTTCTCCATACAGATTTCGCATCAGGTTCAAGCCTTTCATATGAATTTGTTGCATTGCCTAAGGAAATCTGCTAGGTTAGACCTTGTTGCAAAATCAACCATATTTAATTTCACCATAAAATAACAAAATAATGTGGCAGCGCCCTCTACTGGTAAAGTCACTTCTACACACAAAACGAAAAAAAAAAAACAAGGAACAATTACACTTGGCTTTATTAGCAGTAAAATAGATACATTGAAATGTCCTATTCCTATATAGCATGGTAAATTATGCCATTAAAAAGGACACTACCATACATTTCCCCTCAAACATTGAACAGGACTAACTGCATTCACAAGGCCCATTAATGTCTTAAGATAATTAAATATGAGTATAATCAGTCAAAGATACAGCTAAACAGAAAAAATGACATAAAAACAAAATATTATATCATTAGCCCAAACATACATCAACGGCTATAAGGGCAGCAAACCAGAACATTAAAAGTTCTGTCGTAAGTCTTTGGCCCTTCATTCAGATTAGTAAACAATTAGCCATGTTGACTGAAGTGCAGGGAGAGGGACGGACAAAACCCATCACCATCTCGAGAGATTAGAATCCTTCCATTACAGACTGAGAGGGCAGCAGTGAGCAAAGCCTCAAAAACAACTGCACTCGGTGCGTCCAGCATATTTGTCTCACATATTAAGGGTGAAGACTTGATTGTACAGGAGGCTCTGGAATAGATCTGTGTGTGCATGTGTCCAGCTATTTACAATAGTACAAACAGAACGGCAAAAAAGGCACAGATGGCACTGGAAGAACTTAACTCACTTGCTGCAATTCATTGCTGTGAAGCAGAAAGTGTGTGTGTGTGTGTGTGTGAGAGAGATCAAACAATCAGGTTCCTGAGTGATGCTAGCAGTGTCCATTCTCTACAGAAGTTTGTTGGCTCGTTGGTTGGCTTCATCAATGCGAGCTTTATTCATATCAGCCTGGGAAAAATAATATATATATTTTTTTTATATAAAATATATCTTATTTATATATCTTAATTAAATTGTTTAAAAACAATAATGTTCATTTAAATAAATAAATATTAATATTTTCACAGGTCCACTTCATTAGATGCCTAGTTGTTTGACGGAGTAGATTTACCTTATCAGTGATGCGGTCAATGGTTTTGTTCTGTTTGTCAATCTCATTGCCCATATCCAAGGCCAAATTCTTGAGATTCCCGATGATGCTGCCCACCTGACCCAGATTCTCCTCCATCTCATCTTCTCGTGCATCATCTGTTACTCTTTCGGGAAATATCAATAAAGCATACAGTATATACACAGAATATACCTCAAGACATAATATTGTAAAAAGCACTTTTTGCTAATCTAAATTAATATTCAGAAGTATGAACCAGCTGTAAAGATCTTAAAATAAAAAAAAATACCACATACATGTGGAGTCAAACTGCAGTTCCTTCAGCCACCAAAAATATTTAATGTGGCAGGGAAAAGACAACATATCCTAATAATAGCTAAATGCTATCAAACAGAGAACAAGACTGTAGCTTATTCTAGGTCATGAACTGCCTGCATTGACAGGAATTCACCATCTGATTATTAAGCAAAATGACCAATGTTCTGTTTTGGCATCTGATATTGACTGACTGGCATGCAACAAAGTGGAAGCTTATTCAAATGATGTCGCAACAGTCTGGCTCCACAAATATTTGTACAGTAAAACCACAGAAATGAGAAGAAAGTGTTGCTTTAATGTCAGATTTCATAATCTATTTCCAGGACAAGAAGCTTAACATACGGTTTTCATTTACTTGCTTTAAACAATTGATTCAAATCAAAAGATTTAAGTCTGACACTGGATGAAATCCTATTATTTAGTGCTATATTTCCCCTCACCTCTTAATGTAGGGGCCAGATGCGCCCCCTGACCCACTCGAAACAGCCTGTCCATTGCGAACAGCATTGGGTTGGCTGGATACAACGCCGCCCTCTTTTCCCTCCGTGCTGGAGTTGTCACTACCTGTGCCCCAAGTCTTCTTATATCTCCCATCATGCTCAATAGACGTCACTCTAAAAGAAAAGAGGTTTTTAATACTCTCATTTACTCCTGAAAGATCTTATGACAATTCATTTAATTTCAATAAAATGCAAAGAGAAGCCCCCACACAAATCCTACTGAATTTGGTGTTCCATGATACAACATAATGGAGATTATTTTAAATCCAGGAGCTTAGAAGTGGAGTTATAATAGCGAACCTGTCACATGGGCACACACACAAGCCACAGCATTTGGACAGATCAGTCAGGTTCTTCTCGGCCTGCCTCATGTCCTGATTGATCTGGTCCATTCCTTGATCGACTCGCCTCAGTTGCTCTTATCAAGACAGAATGAAGCAGGTTTCAACAATAACATGAGCCAGCATGTCCTAAACAAAGCTTTTATAGATTATAGCAACGATATAATGTTGAGTAACAAAGTAGGTTTCAGGGATGAGGAGGAATGGAATGATGCAGTCACTTACCTCCCTGCTCATCCAGCATGGTCATTGTTTTGACACCCGTCTCCCGGCTCTGAAAATATACAAATGCTTATATCAAGATATATATCTCAAATTCAAATGAGCAAATGCAGATAGCTCTCGGCATTCTAAATCTGTACATCAAATAACAGTAACGTGTTTCTCAAGCCTTCAGGCTTCATTGGAAATCTTACCTCCTCTGCCATCTGTAGCATCCGCCTAGTGCTTTCAAGTGACTGAAAGAAACAAAACGCACATATTCAAAAGGTAGTCAAATCACTACAGAAATTTGACACAGCACCTATTCTGTTGAACATTAATTTGAGTTCTGCATGCAAACATCTAATAAAACAATGCACACTGAACATTTCAGTGCATCTTTGGCTCATAAAGCCAGAAAGGGTAGATATAAAGGTGAATAGAGAAACTGTCCGAAATGTGAAAAGCCTTGATAATGCTACGAAACCATGCATGGAACACAAGATGTACACAGGAACACAATGGTAAGGCATAGCTGTGAAAAAAAATGTGTTAAACTTTTCCAACTATGGCTATTAATCCACTTTTGACCTGGGAAATTATATTCTAAGGAAATTAAAACACTAATTGTACAAAGTAAAAAAACATGTAATGTCAGAATGAAAAAGTGGGTGGGGGGTTCATGGATCTCTAGTTTACCCCCAGTCACCCATGCTGTGGTGCATGAGCAAAGTGTCTCCTTCATGCTATTAGTCTTTATTACAGCACACAGGCTCATGTGAGTCCCTTCAGAGGCAGCAAGAAGGAGAAAGAGAGAAAGAAACAAAGTTATAAGCAAAGCAAGAAAGGAGTATGTTATTATTATCTGACAATTTTAGTAGCACAGAAAATAGCTAAATCAACAAGAAGACATGAGGAAAATCTTAAAACTGTTAGTGCAAGAAAAGTATTATAAGGTTAAAAAATAGAGCAATAAAATTGTGAGTAAAAGAGAAAAAGACTTTGCGGTCAAAAACAATGAGAGGGCACGTATACAGGAACTTGCAAAATCACATCAAAACGAATTACTTTATTATATTGCTATAGTAATAGATGACAAGTATACCTCATCTGTAACTTGGTTGGCTTTCAATGTGATGTCCTCCACTGTCATGTCTGCCATCTTGCTGGTGTCCAAGTTTGCCGCCCCTCCTGTGGCCTTAAGCTCTACGCTCTGGGGTCTGGAGGTCAGAGGTCAAAGTTCAGAAGCCATTCATACCCACACAAACAAAGGTGCCCACAGAAAAAGCTTTCCCATGGAAATTTACCACATGGAATATGAAAGGAAATATTATCGTTCATCAATACTCAGCCTCATGTTGCTCAACTGATCTTCTTTAATGTGAAACTCCATTAAGTACTACAGAAGTAGTCCATAATACTAATTTTCCAATTTCTGAAAGTCTTACATACCAAAACGTGAGTTTTAACTGCAACTTTTGTGACACAAGGCTGAGTACATGACACAATTGTGGGTGAGAAAGTCCAAATATATAATGAAAATAAAGAAATTCAGCATGAAAAGTTATCAGCTGTCAAATGTTTTAAAATGAATGACAAATTCAATAAAATGTGTTACACCTAAGAGAACACCAAGAGGTCATAAACAGCACAGACAACACTTTTACTCAGCGCTGATAATTACGCCCTTAAACTAAAACTGAAAATGCGTATGTCTATGCTGTTTAAAACACTGTTAACAATGGTGTGAGATGGGTGTGAGAGAGAAAGAAGAAGTGTGATGTTTCTATCAAGCTTTTGTGGATGACATGTTCAACATAAGATACATGCCATTTTGGGGTACATTTCATTGCAAAGAACCCTGAAGAGCAGAAATACTCATAAAACATTAATAAAACAGATACTGAGGACACTACAAGTCAATTATCGACTAGCACATAACTGTCACAGCTTACAGTATAAATCTCACATCGCATGCACTGTGGTAAAAAGACTTAATAAAGTGATTATGAGTGTGTAACAGGCCTGCTTGCACAGGAAACAGATCTCGTGTATCTTTTCCTTCATTTTTGCAGCCTTTTCCTGTTCCAAATTCCAATAAGGTAGATGCAAATCCACAAGAACAAACTTATAAGAATATTTCATCTGAAATTTTTCACTTATGATGTTTCAAACCCGTATGACTTAATTTCTTCTGTCTAGCACAAAAACACAAAAGATGCAATGAAAGATAATAATGACTGAGGCAAATTCTGCCTTACAACTGCCTTTGTGAAAGTCATTCAGGTTTGGCACAACATGAGGGTGAACAAATGACAGAATTGTAATGTTTTTGGGTAAACTATCTATTTAAATTCACTTCTCTTCTCTTGGTGTTAACTTACTTATCCAGGCTTTTCAAGAGTGTTTAAAGGGGATTAACATGACCCTGAACGACATGTTACTGACTCCATTGAACAGTCCATCCATGAGAAACGCCTTTTTAAGAAATGTGCATTTCCAGCTTGTCAACAAAAACCGGTTCCTCAATGTAAGGTCATTACGTCATGTCTCTCACACTATTTTCACTGTATTCTGCATCAGACAGAATATAAACAGCACTATCTGGACCTGCATTATGTTCATATGGGATTAAAACTACAGCATGACTCCTCTATATATGAAGATCTGACAAATCCTCCGAACCAACATTCAGGAAACCATACATTTTTGTTTCTTAAACAAGACAATCCGATTTTATCAGAGTATAAACCCATAGCAATGATGTTTAATGCTGCTGATTCCAAGATGTACGGTTTACACCCAACGCCAGAAGGACAGAGCACAATTTTGCCAGGTAAATAAAGAAAGTTAGTACGTTACTTTGAAAGTGGGAAAGTCCTCGTGAATTTCCCCAAGTCTCCCAAGATCCCAACACCACTACTTACGAACAGGTTTTTTTTTTTTTTTTACTTACTGTTTACTCATGATGTTTCACGGGGTTCTTTAACGCTAACGCTACTGACAAAATGTGTTTGATTATTTAAGACAGAAGTTGGTGAGTTGGTCTCGTATTCAACGGGGTTCTTTAACGCTAACGCTACTGACAAAATGTGTTTGATTATTTAAGACAGAAGTTGGTGAGTTGGTCTCGTATTCAGTTCCGCTTTGGGGAAGTAGAAACGCATTAACATCCTTTTGTTTTGAAATACTGGACGCAAGCTGGAGCACAACGATTCGCTCGCTACTTACTGAGGTTGATTCCAGGACAGGAGACGGATAAGACTGGAATCGATCGGTTTAAGTCTTTAGAAAGTGTTTATTGTTCGCGCTGATCCAAACTGTTTCCGAAATTCCTTCAGACAGATTATGACAGTGGTGCGCATGTGCGGTCATATGACAGGTGACTTGGTGCGCATGCGTTAAAGGGAAGTATAAATAGAAAAGATAATTATCAACAACACTAGAAAAGATGTTGGATGGGGTGAAGCGTTTATGAGAGGTAGTTAACATTTTAATAGATAACATCCAATAAACAGAAGAAGAAAAAATGTTTTGGCCTAATTGCTACGATTATTACTACTTCCTGTATAAAAATAAAATAGGAAGAGACGTGTCTATTTCTGGTGCGTCATTAATGTAATGCATTAGTAATTTATAAGTAATTATTTTAAAAATACATAACATTAAATTGGTCCACTGTAGCGAGTGGCTTTTTGGTGATTTTTTTAATCTTTAAGTCACGTAACTGGTTTGTTATACAATATTTCAAAAGAACTAACCAGTCAGACTTCCATTTCAAACTGGATTAAACAAAAATGTTCGTTGATAAAAAAAAATATATATATATATATATATATATATTTGTACGTTGTAACTGTTTTTGACAGCCGCTTACTAATAGCTGTTTACTAACAGAACAGTGCGTGTTGATATCACCACGATGATGACGTGCAAATCCCGGAAGTGCCTTTTGTAAACTTGCTGGTCAGCTGTACCAACTTTAGAGCAGCCTAATCTCATCGAGAATGTCTTTCAGAGGGGATAATATTTCAGCCTAAACAGTGGAGTCTTCCTTTGTGCGGTAAAATTAAACGTATGATACAATTGTGCATTTGTTACTACATTGCTTTAATGATTACTAGGCATGTTTTCTCACGACTCAGCGTCGCACCTCGACTCGCTCGCATATTATTTACATGTTGCGTGTTACTGTAAAAGGATTAGAAACGCTTGTTAATGAACGTGATAACACTGTTTAATATCACCGGACAGTGTTTACATTAAGTTTGATTGCCAGTGTGAATTATTTTGTCGCCTGCTCATCATGAATAAAACGCATAACATTGTAGTGTAATCGCGGATTAGTGGTTCCAACCGGAGTCAGGGGCCCGCTAGGGGGCCTCAGCAAACTTCCGTGGAGGATACAAAATTAAGTTAAAATTTATATTTATTTAGATTTATATCATTTAATAATTATATTACAAAATCTTACTTCATTACAATACTATACCCTGCTAAAAAAATCAGTCAAAATGTCTAAAAAAAACTGTTTTTATAGCAGAACATCTGAATCTTCTCGAGTCACACAACTAATTGTGGTTCATTATTGTAATCTGTAAACACCCCTAGTTTCTAGTAATAAAAAGTTTGGAAATATATTGGCCTACATGAGGGGCTTTTAAATGTTGTCTTGGAAAATGGGGGATCTTGGGGTTAAAAAGTTGGGAACCAATAGATTATGTAACATTACCAAAACTGGAGCTTGCAGGGCATCATTATCAAATATGTGTTTTTTTTATTGTGAACTCAAATCACTTTAAACTTTTCAGGCTTCTCTGCTCATAAGTACTATTTTATTCTGTAGATAATTTGGATGACACAATGGAAGAAAAAAATAAGAAACGTAAAATCCCCAAACCGTCTTCCAACCAGCCTCCTCTCCCAGTCACTGCACGAAAAACAACATCCAGCAGCAGATCGTTCGGTGTTGGTGGTACGGTCACGCACTCCAGTCAGAGGACAAAGTATCGCAGGTGAGCATCATCTATCATCATATTAAATCTGTGTAAGTTATTAAAATTACAGTTTCATATTTCAAACTTCATATTTTGGTTCATTTATTTATTTTGTTTTAGGGGAGTGCGAGACAAACCGAGGCCTCAGAGTCAGTCGGGTAAGAGTAACCAGTCTGCCCACATCCAGCACTCATTTCTCACAGACGTGTCTGATGTTCAGGAGATGGAGAAGGGGCTGCTCGGCCTTCTTAATGACTTCCACTCTGGAAAATTACAAGCCTTTGGTAAGCTCCTACAGTACAGTACAGCTACATTAAAGTGTGTTTACAGTTTTGATTCAAATTAAAATCTTCTCTGAATCAGGCAATGAGTGCTCCATTGATCAGATGGAGCATGTGAGAGAAATGCAGGAAACACTGGCTCGTCTGCATTTTGACCTGTATGGAGAAGTGGATGAGCTGCCAGAAGACCAGAGGAAGTCCGCTTATGACACTAACATGGATAAACTGTTATTAAATGTAAGCAAAGCAATATTTAGTCACAAATCCACAAATCTATGAGTTCTTTCATGTAATTATCCAGACAATCCAATGAAGTTCACTTTTTTTCCTTTAGCTGGAAGAGTTGAGCTCCTCAATGTATCCTTTCATGGTTTCACCAATTATGTTGATGACTTTCAACTGGATGATGTTATAGGGGTTAAGTTAAAGAAATAGTTCACTCAAAAATGAAAATTTGTTAAAAATGTACTCACCTTCAGGCCATCCAAGATGTTTCTTCATTGGAACAGATTTGGAGAAATTTAGCATTACATCACTTGCTCCCCAATGGATCCTCTGCAGCGAATGGGTGCCGCCGCTTTTGACCAAAAGTCCATAATCCATAATAACACTTCCTCCAGTGAAAAAGTGTGAAAAGTAATCCACATGACTCCAGTTCATCAATTAACATGTTTTGAAGCTGAAAAAAAGCTGTTTGTTTGTAAGAAACAAATTCATCGAGGCATTTTAACTTTGCACTGTTGCTTCTGGCCAAAATACGAGTCCAAGATTATTTTTTTTCCACTGGTGAATGTAGTTTTATGGATAGAGGACTTGTATTTTAATCAGAAGCAACAGGTTGAAGTTAAACACCTCTTGATGAATTTATTTATTATAAACACGCATCTTTTTGATTCACAAGATGTTAACTGTTGTGATGAATTGTGATGTTTTATCAGCTGTTTGGACTCTCATTCTGACGGCACCCATTCATTGCAGAAGATCCATTGGTGAGCAAGCGATGTAATGCTAAATGTCGCCAAATCTGTTCTAATAAAGAAACAAACTCATCTACATCTTGAATGGCCCGAGGGTGAGTCAGTTTTTAGCAAATTTAAATTTTTTGGGTGAACTATTCACTTAAAATTGTTTATATTTGTTTATAATTGTTAAATATAATTATTTTATATATATAAGTTGTCAAAATCAAGTGATTTCTCATATGCTTTGAATGAGTATCCTTAACTATAATTCTTTAGACAAAAGCTTAACCTTGCTGACAGTCAAGAAGTCCCCAGAACTTCCAGCATATAAACTGCAAAAGCTCTACCATGGAGAATACTGCGTGCATATTTAGGACAGAAAAGCTGTGGAGAAACACCAGTATTACAGTCATATCGGTGACACTGTGGATCTTAAACTTTTAGAATTGGTCAGCTTGGCTTATTTGCAGTCTATAGTTTTATAGATATGATATCAAAGAACAAATCCATACAGTTGTGGTGAAATGCTCACTTGTCCTTCTCATCACATCATATGTTACCACAAGAAATATATGTTCATAAGGTAATGTTCGATAACATTGTGACTTCTAATCAAATCTTATGTCTTAAATGTTGCCTTGGAGTTGTACAATAGCAGCACCTTTGCATTTTCACTAATTCACTTTAACAAGGAACTGATGGGCTCTGTTTGTGTTTATTTATGTCCTGTCTTAAGGGAATGAATAAAAAGAAAATGGCAGGTTATTTTCATCCAAGATGTCTGTTTCCTGATACTGCAGAATGAAAGTAAAATAACATGGTATATTTTAGGTTATAGTCATATTTACATATTTTATTTTAAATTGAAATGTTGGAAATGTAAAGTGTAACATAGGCTACTGGCTGATTGTTGATTAAACCTTTTATTCATGCTTCTGTCAATAAAGTTCAAGTTGTATTACCCCACATCTGATTTCTCAATTACGTAGATTAACTGCAGTATTGATATAGTTTACGTATTTTAACATAAATATGTAAAAACAGTTGTCTCCGAGCAAAATCACAAGAGCTGCTGAAAGAAACACGATTCGTGTGAAGGAATTTGCAGAGCTTCGTTTGTTATTTGGTCTCCAGGGAAACGAGCGCGTCAAGTAGACTAGAGGTTTGTTTAGAACTAAACTCCAGCCGATAACAAGCAGAACACCTAATTTTCGCGTAAAATTCATATTCATTTAACAGAGTGCATTTGCAAATGAAACAAATGTGTCTCCGCTTGTTATTTTAACTACAAATCGAGAAAGGCAGTGTTTTGGACTGTTTAAACCAGTTTAACTGTTATGACGTCTGTGGAATTTAGAACCCATCATAAGTCAAAAACCCGCGGAAATCCGGATATTAATAATCAATGGCAGATGAATGGAAGTGACTACAGACAGTCGCTGTCTGACGCACCGCGCTTCGACGCCACAGAAACCAGATTCAGTGCATGGACGCCTGTAACAAATAAAGCATGCAACCAACAGGTCAGAAAAAGTTTTTTTTGTTTTTTTTAAATATATGTATTTTTGATTTATTTATTTTTTATGTAATTACTTTTTATTTTGTTTTATTATTATTATTTGACATCTATGTCGTGTGTGTGTTTATTTTTACAACCACATAACCTCACTAAATACATTTGCAGCTTTTTCAGGAAAGAACAGCTCTCATCCTCCATTGGTTTGACCTGTGGACGGACCGACAAAGAAAAGAATTTATTTGTCAGCTGCTGAAAAGATGCTCCAAAATCCAGCTCAAGTGAATTCTCAGATCCTAATTTCTGATCTTACATGATTTACACACAAGAACTACACATTCTCAGACAAAGAATTTGTAGTCAATACATATTTTTTTTCCTTTTAGGTACACCAGGGATTGTTTGGCGGAATCGGTCCCCATCACTCGAATGGACTTCACAGCTGTGCTGCCCCGCTTTCTGTCTCTCTACATCATGTCCTTCCTCAGTCCTCGAGACATCTGCTCTGCAGCACAGGTGTGCTGGCATTGGAAGTTTCTGGCAGAGCAGGTAAGAAATTAATCAGTACAAATGTGCCTTTAATTGATTAGATAATGGGCTTTTATCACATTTCTCTCTTCATTCAAACATTGCTACTGAAAGTGTTCTAAACTAGGGTAAATTTCAATTTCAGAATGAATGCCAGAAATGTCAAAGACAATGTTTTGTATATGTTTACTCACCCACAGTACAATCTCTGTGTGATTCTCTAGGACTGTCTGTGGTCTCCGAAGTGTATCCGTCTGGGCTGGTTTCTTCCCTACAGCCCATCAGATCATGAGTATGGGGCATGGAAAAGACATTATGTGGCTTGTACTGACAGTTTAGATATTCTAACTCCACGGGAAGCAGCAGGTGTCTATGGTACCTTGAATGAGAGTTTGACAGCATCAGAGGAGCAGCAGGATAGATGGAGAGAACACAACATAAGACAAACTATCAGACAGTGTTGATATCACCACGATGATGACGTGCAAATCCCGGAAGTGCCTTTTGTAAACTTGCTGGTCAGCTGTACCAACTTTAGCAGCATAATCTCATCGAGAATGTCTTTCAGAGGGGATAATATTTCAGCCTAAACAGTGGAGTCTTCCTTTGTGCGGTAAAATTAAACGTATGATACAATTGTGCATTTGTTACTACATTGCTTTAATGATTACTAGGCATGTTTTCTCACGACTCAGCGTCGCACCTCGACTCGCTCGCATATTATTTACATGTTGCGTGTTACTGTAAAAGGATTAGAAACGCTTGTTAATGAACGTGATAACACTGTTTAATATCACCGGACAGTGTTTACATTAAGTTTGATTGCCAGTGTGAATTATTTTGTCGCCTGCTCATCATGAATAAAACGCATAACATTGTAGTGTAATCGCGGATTAGTGGTTCCAACCGGAGTCAGGGGCCCGCTAGGGGGCCTCAGCAAACTTCCGTGGAGGATACAAAATTAAGTTAAAATTTATATTTATTTATATTTATATCATTTAATAATTATATTACAAAATCTTACTTCATTACAATACTATACCCTGCTAAAAAAATCAGTCAAAATGTCTAAAAAAAACTGTTTTTATAGCAGAACATCTGAATCTTCTCGAGTCACACAACTAATTGTGGTTCATTATTGTAATCTGTAAACACCCCTAGTTTCTAGTAATAAAAAGTTTGGAAATATATTGGCCTACATGAGGGGCTTTTAAATGTTGTCTTGGAAAATGGGGGATCTTGGGGTTAAAAAGTTGGGAACCAATAGATTATGTAACATTACCAAAACTGGAGCTTGCAGGGCATCATTATCAAATATGTGTTTTTTTTATTGTGAACTCAAATCACTTTAAACTTTTCAGGCTTCTCTGCTCATAAGTACTATTTTATTCTGTAGATAATTTGGATGACACAATGGAAGAAAAAAATAAGAAACGTAAAATCCCCAAACCGTCTTCCAACCAGCCTCCTCTCCCAGTCACTGCACGAAAAACAACATCCAGCAGCAGATCGTTCGGTGTTGGTGGTACGGTCACGCACTCCAGTCAGAGGACAAAGTATCGCAGGTGAGCATCATCTATCATCATATTAAATCTGTGTAAGTTATTAAAATTACAGTTTCATATTTCAAACTTCATATTTTGGTTCATTTATTTATTTTGTTTTAGGGGAGTGCGAGACAAACCGAGGCCTCAGAGTCAGTCGGGTAAGAGTAACCAGTCTGCCCACATCCAGCACTCATTTCTCACAGACGTGTCTGATGTTCAGGAGATGGAGAAGGGGCTGCTCGGCCTTCTTAATGACTTCCACTCTGGAAAATTACAAGCCTTTGGTAAGCTCCTACAGTACAGTACAGCTACATTAAAGTGTGTTTACAGTTTTGATTCAAATTAAAATCTTCTCTGAATCAGGCAATGAGTGCTCCATTGATCAGATGGAGCATGTGAGAGAAATGCAGGAAACACTGGCTCGTCTGCATTTTGACCTGTATGGAGAAGTGGATGAGCTGCCAGAAGACCAGAGGAAGTCCGCTTATGACACTAACATGGATAAACTGTTATTAAATGTAAGCAAAGCAATATTTAGTCACAAATCCACAAATCTATGAGTTCTTTCATGTAATTATCCAGACAATCCAATGAAGTTCACTTTTTTTCCTTTAGCTGGAAGAGTTGAGCTCCTCAATGTATCCTTTCATGGTTTCACCAATTATGTTGATGACTTTCAACTGGATGATGTTATAGGGGTTAAGTTAAAGAAATAGTTCACTCAAAAATGAAAATTTGTTAAAAATGTACTCACCTTCAGGCCATCCAAGATGTTTCTTCATTGGAACAGATTTGGAGAAATTTAGCATTACATCACTTGCTCCCCAATGGATCCTCTGCAGCGAATGGGTGCCGCCGCTTTTGACCAAAAGTCCATAATCCATAATAACACTTCCTCCAGTGAAAAAGTGTGAAAAGTAATCCACATGACTCCAGTTCATCAATTAACATGTTTTGAAGCTGAAAAAAAGCTGTTTGTTTGTAAGAAACAAATTCATCGAGGCATTTTAACTTTGCACTGTTGCTTCTGGCCAAAATACGAGTCCAAGATTATTTTTTTTCCACTGGTGAATGTAGTTTTATGGATAGAGGACTTGTATTTTAATCAGAAGCAACAGGTTGAAGTTAAACACCTCTTGATGAATTTATTTATTATAAACACGCATCTTTTTGATTCACAAGATGTTAACTGTTGTGATGAATTGTGATGTTTTATCAGCTGTTTGGACTCTCATTCTGACGGCACCCATTCATTGCAGAAGATCCATTGGTGAGCAAGCGATGTAATGCTAAATGTCGCCAAATCTGTTCTAATAAAGAAACAAACTCATCTACATCTTGAATGGCCCGAGGGTGAGTCAGTTTTTAGCAAATTTAAATTTTTTGGGTGAACTATTCACTTAAAATTGTTTATATTTGTTTATAATTGTTAAATATAATTATTTTATATATATAAGTTGTCAAAATCAAGTGATTTCTCATATGCTTTGAATGAGTATCCTTAACTATAATTCTTTAGACAAAAGCTTAACCTTGCTGACAGTCAAGAAGTCCCCAGAACTTCCAGCATATAAACTGCAAAAGCTCTACCATGGAGAATACTGCGTGCATATTTAGGACAGAAAAGCTGTGGAGAAACACCAGTATTACAGTCATATCGGTGACACTGTGGATCTTAAACTTTTAGAATTGGTCAGCTTGGCTTATTTGCAGTCTATAGTTTTATAGATATGATATCAAAGAACAAATCCATACAGTTGTGATGAAATGCTCACTTGTCCTTCTCATCACATCATATGTTACCACAAGAAATATATGTTCATAAGGTAATGTTCGATAACATTGTGACTTCTAATCAAATCTTATGTCTTAAATGTTGCCTTGGAGTTGTACAATAGCAGCACCTTTGCATTTTCACTAATTCACTTTAACAAGGAACTGATGGGCTCTGTTTGTGTTTATTTATGTCCTGTCTTAAGGGAATGAATAAAAAGAAAATGGCAGGTTATTTTCATCCAAGATGTCTGTTTCCTGATACTGCAGAATGAAAGTAAAATAACATGGTATGTTTTAGGTTATAGTCATATTTACATATTTTATTTTAAATTGAAATGTTGGAAATGTAAAGTGTAACATAGGCTACTGGCTGATTGTTGATTAAACCTTTTATTCATGCTTCTGTCAATAAAGTTCAAGTTGTATTACCCCACATCTGATTTCTCAATTACGTAGATTAACTGCAGTATTGATATAGTTTACGTATTTTAACATAAATATGTAAAAACAGTTGTCTCCGAGCAAAATCACAAGAGCTGCTGAAAGAAACACGATTCGTGTGAAGGAATTTGCAGAGCTTCGTTTGTTATTTGGTCTCCAGGGAAACGAGCGCGTCAAGTAGACTAGAGGTTTGTTTAGAACTAAACTCCAGCCGATAACAAGCAGAACACCTAATTTTCGCGTAAAATTCATATTCATTTAACAGAGTGCATTTGCAAATGAAACAAATGTGTCTCCGCTTGTTATTTTAACTACAAATCGAGAAAGGCAGTGTTTTGGACTGTTTAAACCAGTTTAACTGTTATGACGTCTGTGGAATTTAGAACCCATCATAAGTCAAAAACCCGCGGAAATCCGGATATTAATAATCAATGGCAGATGAATGGAAGTGACTACAGACAGTCGCTGTCTGACGCACCGCGCTTCGACGCCACAGAAACCAGATTCAGTGCATGGACGCCTGTAACAAATAAAGCATGCAACCAACAGGTCAGAAAAAGTTTTTTTTGTTTTTTTTAAATATATGTATTTTTTATTTATTTATTTTTTATGTAATTACTTTTTATTTTGTTTTATTATTATTATTTGACATCTATGTCGTGTGTGTGTTTATTTTTACAACCACATAACCTCACTAAATACATTTGCAGCTTTTTCAGGAAAGAACAGCTCTCATCCTCCATTGGTTTGACCTGTGGACGGACCGACAAAGAAAAGAATTTATTTGTCAGCTGCTGAAAAGATGCTCCAAAATCCAGCTCAAGTGAATTCTCAGATCCTAATTTCTGATCTTACATGATTTACACACAAGAACTACACATTCTCAGACAAAGAATTTGTAGTCAATACATATTTTTTTTCCTTTTAGGTACACCAGGGATTGTTTGGCGGAATCGGTCCCCATCACTCGAATGGACTTCACAGCTGTGCTGCCCCGCTTTCTGTCTCTCTACATCATGTCCTTCCTCAGTCCTCGAGACATCTGCTCTGCAGCACAGGTGTGCTGGCATTGGAAGTTTCTGGCAGAGCAGGTAAGAAATTAATCAGTACAAATGTGCCTTTAATTGATTAGATAATGGGCTTTTATCACATTTCTCTCTTCATTCAAACATTGCTACTGAAAGTGTTCTAAACTAGGGTAAATTTCAATTTCAGAATGAATGCCAGAAATGTCAAAGACAATGTTTTGTATATGTTTACTCACCCACAGTACAATCTCTGTGTGATTCTCTAGGACTGTCTGTGGTCTCCGAAGTGTATCCGTCTGGGCTGGTTTCTTCCCTACAGCCCATCAGATCATGAGTATGGGGCATGGAAAAGACATTATGTGGCTTGTACTGACAGTTTAGATATTCTAACTCCACGGGAAGCAGCAGGTGTCTATGGTACCTTGAATGAGAGTTTGACAGCATCAGAGGAGCAGCAGGATAGATGGAGAGAACACAACATAAGACAAACTATCAGACAGAAGGTAGCAGAGCATAAACGTGAGTGCCAGGGTTCCAGCATTTCATGTACTCTACATGCCTTTATGAAATGATCTGATTGAGGTTAAGGAGTTTTAATTCATATAAATTATCTGAGGCTAATAATCTCAGTTGGCTGATGCTCTGGTCCTCATATTTCTGTCTGATTTTTCC